TCAGTGGTGGGGCATCTGCTTTGCGTACAGAAGGCCCCCAGTTGAATCCCCAGCCTCTCCAGGTAGGTTTCCTGTCTGATGCCCCGGAAAGTCATTGCCAGCACATATAAACAATACAGATCTCGATGAACCAAGGGTCAGAATCCATTCAAGGCAGATTCCTACGGATGGTCCATCACTGGGCATCATTCCAAGGGTTGATTATGGTCTATAATGCCCTAGAAGGCTTGGGTTCCAGCTATGTGAAAGACTGTATTTTTCTATATGAGTCTGCTCAGGCTTGGAGATCTTCTAGGGGAGGCGTTTTTCCCTGCTCCACCACCTTCACAGGCATGGTTGGTGAGGACACTAGAGAGGACCTTCTTGGAACTCCCTTTCATGGGAGGCTAGGCTGCCCCCTCTCTGCTTACCTTTCATCAGCAGGCAAAGATATGCAGGGCAGTTCTATCCCAAGGGAACCTACTGAGAAATGCATTGCAGAGGATAAGGCAAAAATGGGTGGTCCAGAAACTAGTCTCCTGGGACCTCCCACTGATGAATATTTTCTGCTTCTTAATTATTTTTTTTACAGATGGCATCTCCTGCTTCTTCCATGGATTTTTTTGCTTTGGTCATGTTCCAGAGAGAGGGGGACAAAAGTCACATGGAACTGGATCAAATCATCTTCCAGCCAGTTGCCATAGAGGAAGCACCCTGATGATCCACAGCAACAATATTTGCTTATTTGTCTCTTCTGATCACTTGCCATTTCTTTCTTGCTTACAGCTATCCTTCCGAATTCGGTGGGATTAGAATCACAATTGCCCAACTGAGCAAATGAGCCTATTCTTAACCACAGGTTTAATTTGGTTCCCTCCAGGATGTTTGTCTTGAGCTACAATGATTGTATTTTGATGGATTAACCATTTAGCTAAATGAAGTTATGCCTGCATGGAAGCAGGGACCCATATACCTCCCGGCCTTTGGCATTTCATAGAATTGTTCTTTCAAATTGATTTTTTTTAGAAGCAATAGCTGAAATAACCCATTTTCTTTTCCTGGAAGACAATTACACAACTATGGTTTGATCAGTCACCCTCTTGCTGTCAACAGACCGCTGGGTTTCCATTCTGCAGAACCAGCGAAAGACATGTCTCCTGCTTGAGACAATCATGCCTCCCTCTCTCCCATCCACCCACCCACCACCAAATCAACTGCTTGCTGATGACAAACGTGACATGGGTGTTCCATGCCTTGCTCTGAAGAAGGATTCTTTCCTCAAACAAGGCATTGTGAGTGAGGCTGCCCAGAGGGCACCTGCAAGTGTGCTGCTTAAATATTGCTTAAAGCAGGCACCCCAAACCTTCAGCCCTCCAGATGTTTTGGACTACAATTCCCATCATCCCTGACCACAGGTCCTGTTAGCTAGGGATCATGGGAGTTGTAGGCTCAAACATCTGGAGGGCCGCAAGTTGGGGATGCCTGGCTTAAAGTAATCCAAAACTATTAAATGAGCAATACTCCCAGCTTAGGATAGGAAGGATTTCAGCCTGACAGTTCAGGGAAGCTAATCAAGAAGGATGGAGAGACCTTTCCTTTCCTTTGATGGAGTAGCTTTTGCTCTTCATGCTAGTAACTTAAATAGCAATGCTTCTTTGCAAAGTTGCTCGAATTTCTGATTAAAAGGTACAGATTGCCTTCTAGCGGACTGAAGATCTTTGGTTAAAGCTCAATGTTGCACTGATGGAGTTAGAAGAAAGCACCACTGAGTTCAATGGAGCTTCCTTCCAGGAAACTATGCAAGGGATTGCAGTTATGCCAATTCTAAACAACTGGGTATTATACTATATGCTGTGTTTTGTGCGCGCGCACACACATGCACACACAATTCTTATATCTCTGTCTGTTTGCCTATATATAATGGGTCACGTGGCTGATTGTCACCAGCATTCAGTCTTCAGAAGCATGCCCTATTAACCCATTTTGCTCTATGACATGCTATCTAGGACACACCGTGTGTGTGTGTGTGTGTGTGTGTGAGAGAGAGAGAGAGAGAGAGAGAGAGAGAGTTTTCCATTGGCCAGGGACGTGACACAGATGCAACAGCCTCAGCATCTATTGATTGTCATGCAGCTCTGTTTGCTGTGTGGCTGCCAGTCCGCTGGCGTAACCCAGGACTTTTTCTGGTTAGCAAAGCAAGCCACTTCGCTAGACCCAGGCCCCAGCCTAAGCCACAGCCACTCTGATGGCCTAGATGTGGTCTGAGATATAATCGCCAGAGAGATCACTGTCTCAAGCTCTCAGGCTCTACAGAATTATGCAGTTTAGGGACAACTAGGGAAGCCAGATGCAAAGGACAGCAGAACTCCAACATCCTGTGTTGGTGAGGAGTGGATTTCAACACACATAGCTTCTCATGCAGGTGAAATTGGGGATAGGGGAGAAATTTGATTCAATTTGGATTTAAAGGTGAGTATGAGAACCAAAACACGGCAATCCTTTGAACTGCACACTTCTCCAAATTTTGCAGTGCAGTTCTCCAGCAAAGTGATGTGGACCCAAAAAAGTGTATATTATGGTAAAGTGTGTGTAAAAATGCAGAGATAACATGTAAAAAATGCAGTATTTTAGGGAAATTGCTTTGCAAAGTTGTGCATAGGGGGATAAATGCTCAGTAAGGGCTTATGCTTTCTCTTTTCCCTCTGCCTTCTCCCAGGGAAAACTGCTCTTTAGTGCTCAGTCGGAGCAAATGGCAATTCAGCTTTTTACCCATATGGGCGTTTCCTCCAATTTAGAGCTAAGGAGTGGACTTCCCCTGGGAAAGGAGAGGGGTAAGGGGAGAACTGCTTGGACTTGTGTCTAGAAAGCATGGGTCAACTGGACAACTGCTCAGAACCATGCTTTTTTTAGGCACGGGACAAGAGCAACCCTAAGTTGCTAGTGGGTTTTCATGAGGACTTTTTCGAAAGCCTCGGTCCAGTATAACTGAAGGAGCATCTCCATCCCCATTGTTCTGCCTGGACACTGAGGTCCAGTGCCCAGGGCCTTCTGGAGGCTCCCTCATTGCAAGAAGCAAAGCTACAGGGAACCAGGCAGAGGGCCTTCTCGGTAGTGGCACCCACCCTGCTGAACGCCCTCCCACCAGATGTCAAAGAGAAAAACAACTACCAGACTTTTAGAAGACATCTGAAGGCAGCCCTGTTTAGGGAAGCTTTTAATGTTTAATAGGTTATTGTATTTTAATATTCCGTTGGAAGCTGCACAGAGTGGCTGGAGAAACCCAGCCAGATGGGCGGGGTATAAATTATTATTATTATTATTATTATTATTATTATTATTATTAGTTATTGTTGTTGTTATTATTATTATTATTATAAAATGAACTTGAATTTAAGACTGGGAAAAGGAGGGACTGCACTGCAGGAGGGTTGGACTGGATTACCCTTGAGGCCCCTTCCAAGCCTACATTTCTATGATTCTATGAAACTGAAATTGTCGGATATATTTTTGCCCATCTTTGATTTCAGCACAAGGTGCTTCAGTTGGAAGAGGAGAGTGCGCAAGTTCTGTGATGTACAGCAGAGCTTTGAGAAAAACATGACTCAAATCACTCCAAAAAGAAGACATTGGAGCACTCCCAATCATTTGCCCATGTGCATGTACAGAAAATAGTTGATCCAGGTGTGAAAGAGAGCATGTGGCAATCTGTGCTGGTCATTGCAACGCAGCAGGTTTTCATTTGTAATCTTGTGGACTATATTGTTTCAAAAGCCCAACAGAATATCCCACGTTATCAGTGAGTCGTCCTGTTCCTGCCCCCCGCTCAGGCCTCAGTGTTCAAATCAAGCTCCTAGCAGTCAGAGTAGGTCTTGCCCACAGGGTGCAAACAGGAATCCCATCCACCTTCAGCAAACAAGAATCACAGCCAAATTAACTTACCTTGTTCAACCTGCCACTCGCTTTACATTTGTGGCTTGGTGTGCATCAGAGAGAGCTCAGCCCTGTGGCAAGTGCCTCTAACTAACAGTAGACAATCAGTTTTAATTTCTATCAGTTCTTCGCATGTTTGGGAAATTGACAAATCACCTTTTCTGGCTGGGATTACATCCCCCCTGAAGGAGCAAGTGCAGAGATTTGGGGTACTCTCAGATACATTTTTGTCACTAGAGCTTCCTCTCTGACCATTTGCCTTTTGCCAGCTTTGTCTGGTTCACCAGCTGCAGTCGATCCTGTCCAAAGGTAGTCTGACCACTGTAGTTTATGCATTGGTCATCCTGAGGCTTGATTACTGCAGCAGGTTCTTTGTGAGGCTGCCCTTGGACCTGGTTCTGCTGGTGTAGAATGCAGTGGCCAGATTGCTGATGGGGGTATCTGGTTGGGAACATGTGACACCATTGATAAAACATCTGTACTGGCTTCCCATCTACTACCGAGCCAGGTTCAAGGTCCTTGTATTAACTTGCAAAGCCCTGAACAACTTAGGTCCAGGGTACCTCAGGGATCACCTTAAGCCTTACATCCCAGCTCCATCACTGAGAGCATCTGCAGGAGGGTCGTTCATCATTCCCAGACTTGGTAAAGCTCGTTTGACAGAAACGGGAAACTGAGTCATTGGCCCTTATTGCGGAACATTCTGAATATTCAGCAGGTGCCTTCCGTTTCAACCTTTAAATGCCTGTTTTCTATTCCATCATGTTTATGCAGGCGATTAATAATTCCTCTTTCCATAACAGTTTGTGGATTTCTCATTTTAACATTTTGTTTGCTTTTTCTTGTGTATAACTGTTGTAAATAGCTCAGATTTTTATTTTTTTTTAAAAAAAGCTCAACAGTGTAAATATTTTATTCTAAATGAATAAAATAAATATTGCTGAGCCTGAGGTTCCCCACCCTTGGGAGAGGGAGCTGCAGGCATGAGTCACTGGGCTTGGCCCACAAGTGTGGCACTCCCCATGATAGGGCCCAGCATAAATAGAGCCCCACAAGACACCATTATTCCCAAGCCCAGCTGAGAGGGAGAACAAAGGAAGAGAAACCCAAAATGAAGTTCCAGGTTGCAGCTGCTTTCCTCGGCCTCTGCCTGCTGTCTCTGCGCAGCACCCAAGCTGCACCTGCGGTAAGAATGAACAAGGCAAAATCCTGTGAGCCCAGGTGGTGCCCAGGGTGTGTGTGTGTGTGTGTGTGTGTGTGTCAGTGTGTATGCACAGATTGCTCAAACTTCCTGATGAATCTGTAGAAATCAGGGGTGTGTTTCACAGTGTCGGCATTTGCTAATGTTGTGCTTTGGGGCACAGGAGCCAGTAAAAAATATCGGGCAACTCTAAAATGCAATTACTGAAGTAGTACATTCCAGGACTGACCATCCCAATTTGCTATTTCTGTACTTGTGAATTCACTCTTCTTCCTCCTCCTTTCCAAGGTTACAGTGCAATGCTCTACCTAATCTTCATATTTATCATATTCTAATAAGAAGAACCTGAAACTCTTCTACATAGCCCTAGAAGCACCAGGTTAATTGCCGGCTGCTCCTGGGCTCTCCACTGTGGTGGAGTTTTGTGTCCCCCCCCCCGAACCCTCTCAAAATTTATCTGGTAGGTTTCCTCCTCGAGATACTGTGAGGTGTTTATGGCCTCCTAACACACAACCCCTTCATGGATTTGTTATGGCGAAGGGGCTTGAATAACTCAGAGAAGCTATGAGCTATGCTGTGCAGGACCACCCAAGACAGACAGGTCATAGCCGAGAGTTTAGACTAAATGTGGTCCACCTGGAGAAGGAACTGGCAGTCCACTCCAGTATTTTGCCAAGAAAACTCCATGGACATAAAAAAGGAGAAGCTTTGAGAAGAAAACGAGAGTTTCCAAGGCATGCTCTGGTTCATGGGGTCATGGAGAGTCGAACATGACTAAGACGACTAAACAACAACAAAGACTCACAAATCTCATTTCCCACTTAAAGATAAATCAATAGATCACAATGCCTTTTTCTGAAAGCACTTCTAAGATTTTTCATTTTCTCACTGCATTTGGAATGCCTTTTTGCAGAATTCATCCAAATGTCATTTTTTGGGGGTGGCACACACCATTCTCCCCCTGCTTCCATTGGCTAGCAATGCTGTCTGGTCAGGGATACTTTGGAAGATGCAATGGCAGCTGCTTTTAGTGGCACGTGCAGAAGGAAGGAAGGAAGGAAGGAAGGAAGGAAGGAAGGAAGGAAGGAAGGAAAGGAGGAAGAGACATTTTGTTATTGGCACTGCTGCCTCACTTTTGAGAAACTGGTGGAGAATGTTCCCTTTCTTGGAAGAAATTTAATGAAACAGTCCCCAAGAGGGCAAAGCACTTCAATAGGTCATTTCTGCAGCATCTCACCCCATGAATAAAAGGAGGCAGGGATGAGGTCGCTGGCCAGCATATTACAACTGGAGGTCATGATACTATTTATCTTTCTCTTGAGCAAGTGACCATGAATTGGCTTGTTCTTAATGTGTCTGGTTTGCTCCTTTGCTTTGCTGAGGCCTCACATCCCTTATGGAGTGCAAATTTGGCATCTGAAGCTTTCCTTGACTTGAGAGTAAAAATCTTCAGAGCAAACTTTACTTGCTGAAATTCCGCATGCCTGGCAGACCACTAACTGCAAAGGGTATGGGAGCTCCACCAGCATCACCCTAGCCTTCTGTGAGCCCTCGCTTCTTCTCTGTTTCCCTTGCTTGGTGTTTGCTTCCCCCCGCGCCCCTACAACCACAAACACTTCTCTTCCTTTGGGTCCACGTGCAAATCTTGCCCAAACCTTCATCCAAGACCCCAATGCAGTCAATGCTGCTTTAGGGAGATGCTACAGTCCTCCACCTAACAGAATAACTCATTCTGTCCCCTTGCAGAATGGAGGCAGCTTTGATGGCAACAATGTAGGATCTGGCAGCTTCAACAACAATGGAGTAAGTACCCCAGAACTCCTCTGTGTTTATCAGTATTCCCCTTTCCACTATATGTATAAAAATCTTTTAAAGAAATGCTAGCAAACATTTCCACTGAAATGTATCCTTCTGTTAGGTATCCTGCAAATTGCTTTATATTTTTTAAAAAAGATAAAGGATGCATTTGCTTAATATAAGGATGCATTTCCACTCAAGCTTAGATCTCCATTCATACTAGTCCTTCCATTGTGCTCTAGCATGTTGTTCCAACTCAGGGAGGGACTTCAGCTCACTGCTTGGTGCTTTGCATGCCGAAGGTCCCAAAGACAATCCCTGGCATCTCCAGGTAGAACTTGGAAGCTCTCCAGCCTCAAGCCCTTGAGAGATGCAACCAGTCAGTGCACAAAATGCACTGCCTGGATGGATGATCAGGAAGGATGTGTGCATGTCAAGAAACTAAGTTCGTGTAGCAAAGTAAAAAAACAAAACAAAAACCCCACATATTTATTTCTATTCTCACTTTTGTCTCTGGCCCCGCCCACAACTTGCACTTGGCCCCTGGAAGGTTGTCCAGAATGGAATGTGGCCCTCAAGCTGGAAGTGTATTCCAGCCCCAGTGTAGACAGTATTGAGCTAGATAGACCAATGTTGTGACTCAGTGTAAGGCAGCTGTCTATCTATGTAGAATGGAGAGATCAGATAGCAGTTTTGATGTCTGAGAGACAGAACTTGTAATCTGGTGAAATGTGCACTCTCCCAATTATAAATCTGGTGGATGTTCTTAATTTCTGGTTTTTCTTTTTCTTTTATGTTTCAGAACGATTATGAGGGATTAGGAGGAGTAAGTATCAGCAAGGGTATATGCATGATCCATCTCATGTAGCATTTCCCTAAAACAAAGCTGGAGAACCTGTGGGGCTGCAGGTATTGTTGGACTACAATTCCCATCAGCCTTGACCACTGGCTATGCTGAACTAGGGCAGATGGGAGTTGGGGTCTACCAACATCTAGAGTTGGGGTCTACCAGCATATGCCCCCATCCTGCACTCAAATGTTATCAGCAGCACCTGCTCATTGAATTCTAAAAAAATATTCAAAATCCCAATGATATTTCAAGTAGCAACTGAACAGAGAAATGTTGGCTGTTCCTTTGGATTACTCAAGCCCTCTAGAAATCAAAAATACATCAAAATTTGGGCAATGGTTGGCGAGTACCCACTGCGCTGGGTTGGGGTCCATATGGAGAGTTGAGGTGAATGTAGGGATAGGAGAGAAATATTATTCCATTCTCATTTAAAGGTAAACCTACCTAATCCATACTTTCCTAAACACTATTTAGTCCAAAACACAGCCATCCTTCAAAATTCTTCAAATTTTCTTTCTTTCATTTCTCCAAAATTTGCAGTGCAAAAAACCACATGCCAATGTCAGCTGTGCATATACATGCATATTTTAGTTAAAGTAGCATATGCAAATCATTCTGCTACAGAACATTATTATTTTTTTTGCAGAAATATCTGTAAGGCAAAACTGTGTGCAACAATTCAGAGAAAAACACACCAAAATGCCGATAGATTCTCATGAGAGCTGCTGTTGGTTTTTAAAATGCAGATTAATCTGGAAGAATGGAGAACTGAATTTAAGAAAGCAAGAGAAACCAAACTTGACAGAGGTTGGCTTTAAAGGGGGATTAAACAAATTGATGGAGGAAAAGACTATCTCGAGCTAATAGCCATGAAAGGGTTACTCTTGCTGCCCAGACTTCCATCCCAGACCCGAATCCAGTCATTGCTGTTTTAGGAAAGGGCTTTTCTTTCCAGCCCTCCACCTAACAGGATGCTCTCTTCTTGCAGAATGCACACAGCTTTGATGGCAACAACGCAGGATCTGGCAGCTTCAACAACAATGGAGTAAGTCATAGAATTCCTATGTGTTTTATGCTGATCCGTATTTCCTCAGCCAAATAATGGCTTAAAAAAAAAAAATAAGGTAGCAAACATTGCCACTGGTTGTGCTTCCTTTGGTAACTTGCAGATGATTTTTTTAAAAAGATGCATTGGCTTAATAAAAAGATGCATTTCCACCCAAGCTTAGATCTCCATTCATGCTAGTCCTTCTATATTGTTGCAGCATGTTGGCCCAACTCAGGGAAGGGACCATGGCTTAATGTTTAGTGCATCCACTTTGCGTGCAGAAGATCCCAGGGACAATCACTCAGATATTCAGGGAGGGCTTGGAATGTGCTCTGTATGAAACCTTGGAGAGCCACAACCAATTAGGGCCCAATATACACTGCCTGAATGGAAGATAAAGGGCTGGTGAATGTGAATGGATTAACACAATAATAAAGTAAAATGCACATTTATTGCTCTGCCCACTTTTGTTTCTGGCTGTGTCCACCACTGGCTTTTGTCCTCTGAAAAGTTGTCCAGAAAGGAATGTAACCTGTTGTAAATAGGGTATCTGGGGATGCTCTTAATTTATTAATTTTCTCCCCTGTTTTCTGTTGCAGAACGAGTTTTGGGTGTATGGAGGAGTAAGTATCAGCAAGCATATGCATGATCCATCTTGCCTTGCCCTAAAACAGAGATGGAAAACCTGTGGGCATCCAGATATCATTGGACGGCAGCTCCTGTCATTCTGGACCCAGGGATCATGGGAGCTGGAGTCCTTAAGCATCTGGAAGGCCACAGGTTGCCCACCCCTAAGTTAAAGCAACCCTAATCCTACAGATCAGCTGGTGGTTAGAACACGAAAAGACCCTGTATTGACCTGTATTTGGGTGCACCCAAAGTGATTGAAACTGAAGCCAAAGAAGATATTTGCTTAAGTTAGCATTGCTGTTCAGTGGCTACTATGCATTCCACTTGTTAGGTGGGTGTGGACTCTGATGAGAAACAGTTTAACAGAACATAGATAGAAAACCTGAGGTTTTCAGGTATCCGTGGGTCCTTGCTCTCAGCTTCTTATCTGCTTCCCATGCTAACTGTTTGACACACACAGAAAGAGAGAGAGAGAGAGAGAGAGAGAGAGAAGATGGGGGACTTTTCTACCTTTGGGTCCACATCCAAATCCTGTCCAGAGTTCCATCCCTGATCTGATCCAGTTATTGCTGTTTTAAGAAGGGGCTCCTCTTTCCAGTCCTCCACCTAACATTATGCTCATTTTGTTCTCTTGCAGAATGGAGGCAGCTTTGATGGCAACAACGCAGGATCTGGCAGCTTCAACAACAACGGAGTAAGTCCCCTCCGTCTTTTGTGATGATCCATATTCCCCTTTCCTCAAATAATGGTCTTTTTTTAATCAATGGTAGCAAACATTCCCACTGATTGTGCTTCCTTCTCTTTGGTATCCTATTATTAAAAAATAAAATAAAAGGATACATTGGTGTAATAAAAGGATGCATTTCCACCCAAGCTTAGATCTCCATTGATACCAGTCCTTCTACAGTGTTGCCCCAACTCAGGGAGGGATCATGGATTTATGGTTAGTGCATCTGCCTTGCATGCAGAAGGTGCCAGGACAATTGCTGGCATCTCCAGGGAGGCCTTGAAATGTGCCCTGTATGAAACCTTGGAGAACCACAACCAATTAGGGCACAATATACACTGCTTGGAGGACAGATACAAAGGTTGTGTGAATATGAAAAAAATAGCTTAAAGTAATAAGGTAAAATGCACACTCATTGCTCTGTCCACCTTTGTTCCTGGCTGTGTCCACCACTGGCTTTTGTTACCTGGAAGGTTGCCCAGAAAGGAATGTAGCTGTTGGTTTGAAGAAGGTTCCCTGCCCTGGTGCAGACAATATGGAGCTGGATGCACTATAATCTGACTTGACACAGGACAGGGCTGCTTCCATAGAACCATAGAATTCCTAAGTAAAATGGGTAGATTGCATAATAGCATTGCAGTAAGAGAGCTATAACTTTTAGTCCAGTGAAATGTCTTCTCTGCTTGTTATAAATTAGGTATCTGGGGATGCTCTTAATTTATGACTTTTCTCCCTGTTTTCTGTTGCAGAACCAGTTTGGGGGGAACGGAGGAGTAAGTATCAGCATGCATGTGCATGATCCCTCTAGCCTAGCATTGCCCTAAAACCAAGATAGATAACCTGTGGGCATCCAGATTTCATTCGACAGTGGCTCCCATCATTCCGGACCCAGGGATCATGGGAGCTGGAGTCCTTCAGCATCTGGAAGGCCACAGGTTCCCCACCCCTAAGTTAAAGCAACCCTAATCCTATAGATCAGCTGGTGGTTAGAACACGAAAAGACCCTGTATTGACTCAATAGTGTTCAATGCTGGGTGCACCCAAAGTGATTGAAACTGAAGCCAAAGAAGATATTTGTTTAAGTTACCATTACTGTTCAGTGGCTACTACCCATTCCACTTGTTAGGTTGGTGTGGATTCTGATAAAAAACAGTTTCAGAGAACGTAGATGCCCTCAGCTTCTTATCTGCTTCCCTTGCTAGCACACACACACACACACACACACACACACAGAGAGAGAGAGAGAAGAGAGAGAGAGAGAGGGGGGAGAGAGAGAGAAGGTGGGTGGGGAGCTTTTTTACCTTGGGATTCACATCCATATCCTTCCAAGAGCTCTATCCCTGACTCTGATCCAGTTAATGCTGTTTTAAGAAGGGGCTGCTGTTTCCAGTCCTCCACCTAACATTATGCTCATTCTGTTCCCTTGCAGAATGCAGGCAGCTTTGATGGCAACAGCGTAGGATCTGACAGCTTCAACAACAATGGAGTAAGTCCCCTAGAATTCCTCTGTGATGATCCATATTCCCCTTTCCTGAAATATTGGCCTCTTTTTTAAAAATGGTAGCAAACATTCTCACTAATTATGCTTCATTCTCTTTGGTAACATGCAGATTATTATTATTTTAAAAACATTGATTAAAAATAAAAAATGCATTAGCTTAATAAAAGGATGCATTTCCACCCAAGCTTAGATCTCCATTAATGCTAGTCCTTCTACAGTGTTGCAGCACGTTGTCCCAACTCAGGGAGGGACCATGGCTTTATGCTTAGTGAATCTGCCTTGCATGCAGCAAGTGCCAGGGACAATTACTGGCATCTCCAGGGAGGGCTTGGAATATGCTGTGTATGCTTCTGCTTCTTGGAGAACCACATCCAGTTAGGGCACAGCATCCATTGTCTGGGTGGTAGGTAGAGGAGATTGTGTGAATATGAAGAAACTACTTTGCAGTATTAAGGTAATTTGCACACTTATTGCTCTGCCCACTTTGTCCCCTGGAAGGTTGCCCAGAAAGGAATGCATCTCTTCAGTTGAAAAATGTACCCTGCCCCAGTGTAGACAATATTGAGCCAGGGACCAAAGGACTGAGCTGATACAATAATAATAATTTATTAGATTTGCTATAACATCCTTCATACGAAGATGATAGGATGATTCACAACATAAAAATACAAAAAAAATACAAAATGGGAACACAAGATGCATTTTAAAGCAAAATTAGAGATGGAATCTCTATAGACTACAGCAACTCCCCCTCCCTGACCCTCAAGTCTGCCCTGATGCTGCACCAAGTACCTAGGTGTGCACAGCTGGGTGAGACCAACTCCATCTACTTACCCAACCAGGTCTCAGTGATGCAGACCAGGTCTTCTTCATCTACAATCAGATTGTGGATGAGGGAGGTCTGATTCAAAGCTGATCTGTCATTCAACAGCATCAGCCACAGACCCAAAGGCTAGATGATAGGACAACCACAATTCTCCAGGCTGGAGGAAGGGCTGGCAGATAGCACCGTCACTAACTCCCTGTTCTGTTTACCTGGCAGCTTCCGGTGTATAATGGATAGATCATGTCATAGATTCTCAGTGATAGAGCTATTGCTTTTAATCTAGTGGAATATGTACCCTGCTAATTATAGACTGGGTATCTGAGGGGTGTTCTCAATTCTGTTTTTTTTCTGTTTTCTGTTGCAGAACCAGTTTTGGGCATATGGAGGAGTAAGTATCAGCAAGAGTATACATGATCCGTCTAGTCTAGCATTGCTCTAAAACAGAGATGGAGAACCAGTGGGCATCCCGATAATTGTTGGACAGTAACTCCCCTCATTCCTGACCACTGGCTGTGATGGCCCAGGGATGTTGGGAGGTGGAGTCACCCAGGATCTAAAGGGTCACAGGTTCCCCAACCCTGGGTTAAAGCAACCTTTAACTTATACTTATAGAATTTTTTTTTTGAGGGGGGACTGTATAGCTTGAGTCAATAGTGTGAAGGTACTGGGTACACCCAAATTGATTTAAACTGAATCAAAAGAAGATGTTTGCTTAAATTAGCATTGATGGCTGGGGACTGCTACTTCCTCCACTTGTCTGGTGGGGCATGTACTCTGGGGAGAAAGATTTTAGCAAAGAGGAATGCAGATGGAAAACTTGAGCTGTGCATCTGTCTAGGAAGCTACAAGGATGTGCCTTTTTGCCTCTGAAGGAACTCCCCCTGCTTTAAACACTGCCCTGGCACTCTCTCCCCTTTTTGGCCTGTGTTCATTCTTGTAGGCAGGTTCCAGGTTGAGGTGTCCCTGGCAAGGTGGCCTCCACCTACAGTAGAGGACACCCTGGCTGCCCTTTTAAAATTCCTCACACAGTGCTCCAAAGCAAAGCTATGCCAGCACTTTGCAGCAAATTGAAACAGCGGGCAGTTCCCAGTCACAGCCATCCACTGTGGGGAGCCTGGTTCCAATATTGGTGACAGGTACAGGCACCTCCTGCACCTCCTTGCTGAACTTGTATAATTGTAGGTATTACCAGTTATAATGCTCTCTCAAAGGAAACTGACCCCGTAAAGCTCCTTGCCACGAGAGAACTGCAGATCACTAATATATCCCCTTGCATTCTGTTTACAGAACAGTGGAAGTTTTGATAACAACAATGCTGGTGACAACAGCTTCAACAACAATGGAGTAAGTACCAGAGATAGGCCAACTTGACCATCTCGCTTGTACATTCGCTTGTCACACCAGTTCTTCTCTTGGGCTGGCAACTGGCTACTTAAGACAGCCAAGCTTTGGGATCATCTTACACAGGGGTGGCCCCCTCTTGCCTTCCCGATGTTGCTGGACGACAGCTCTCATAATCCCTGATCATTATCCATGTTGACTGGTACTGATGGGAGTTGGAATCCAACAACATAAGGGCCTCAATCCTGCCCTAGCATTTGAAATACCCTTGGGCAATACTTTATAGAGTCATTTGCCTTCTCTATAATCAAACACACATACTTCAGCCTGCAACAAAATATTTCATAGTATCTCTTGGATGATCTCTGACATTGCCAGCTAGACAGCCCCCCCCCAAGAAAATGTTGACAGCAAGCCTGGGCATTTCCAAGAGAGCAATGAGACTGAATGGTTGTGAAGCAGCCGTTCTGTAGGGATGGAACAAACAGAAGATCCCACTGTCTAGTTACATGGATCCATGCACCCATGGATTCTCTCCCAGAATTCTTCTGCCACACATGAATTAAGGTTTCAATAACAATTAAAAACATAGCACTCCATTGTTGAGCCTGGCAGCGCTCTTCTTCCCTTTCAAATGCTCTCAGTTACATCAGATCAGTATCCGTTCAAATGTCAAGCCTGTTTGTTCTTTTACAAAAAAAGAAGAAGCAATTTTGACAGGCAGTCCCCAGAGTCCCACAGCCCAGCCATGTAGCATAACCACCAATGCAAGATCTCATGAATCATGTGGATGCCTAACTATCTTTTTACCCTGAGTACTTTCTAAGTATTACCTTTCTACCCAAGCATTTCCCAAGTACTCCATTTCTACTCTTTGTACTTTATTCTCCATGCTGGGCATAAAAGGTAACACTTAATGACTTCACTTTATGCCATATTCCAAAAAATCTTGTGAGTGAGAGGAACTAGGTCAGAGGTGAGGAACCTGTGGCCCTCTAGGTATTGTTAAAATCCAACCCCCATCAGGCCCAACCAGCATGGCCAGTATCCAGGGATGATGGGATTTGCAGTTCACCAACATCTGGAGGACCAGAGTTTCTCCTCCCAGGTCTAGATCTTTTTTTATGGATGGTATCTGGAAAAGAACCCTCAAAGTGATTTCCCCCCTTGCCTAACTCCAAATGCAAACCTGAACGTGCCGCCTAAGAGTCTTGAAAAACCACAAATTTGGATTAGTAGCTGAATAATCTGTCAATGTTTTGCCTTGCAGAATAATAATGATGACCCCATTGTTTGGGTGAGTATTAGTACTGCTGAATCTCTCCATTAGGAATAGGGTTTGATGGCATGGCTCAGTCATTTTGTTGCCACAGCATCACTGGAAGCATACAGGGTTGCTTTTGCATAAACAGGAGAAATGGATGCATCATGCCATCCCAGCAGAGTGTTATGGGATGGGGGCAGAACTAATGTATTATAAGAATGTAAGAGTTGCCTTGGTGAAATAGGTCGAGAAATAGGCTAGGTCCATCTATCCTAGCATTATTTCCCCAGTGGTGACTGGGGAGTTAACAGTGAAATAGTGATGTAAGGGATGCTTGTCAAGCCAAGCTCCAATCTAGTCTGGCATTTTCAGCCTAATAAGGGAACAAACAGAGGATGCTGTCTTATACCAAGTCAGATACACTGGCCCACCTACCTCCCTATTGTCTACATTGACTGGCAGTGGCTGCCTAGGGTTTCAGAAAAGGGGGTTTCTCCCAGTCATATATGGAGATGCAAGGGCTTGAACATGGATCTTCATGCAAAGCAGATGGCCTACTATTGAGCAATGGATGTTCCTTGGAAAGCTTGTTGTGGGGGAAATTCGAGGAAAGGCAGCCACATATCTGAGTCTGTCTAAGCACTTTGAGCCCACCTTGAGAGTGGGGTAAAAGTCTAGTATCTAGCTAGAAAGTCACATACCTTCTTCAAATATTCAGGAAAATGTATGGCCACAGATTAGTACCCTGATTTCATAATATAGTGTTTTTACTGAAAGAAGCACCTTTTTGTACCTGTGACAGACATCTGTCATGTGCTGTAGTGCCCAGTGCAATGTGAGATGATGAGATTTAGAGAGACAGGCATATTGGGGAGAGCTGTCCTATTGGGTCTCTCTTGGCATTTGAATTCTAATGGGTGTTCCTTTTCTTCTTTTGCAGTATTAGACACTCAGGAAACCACTGCAACACAGTGCCTTCTGCCCCTTTTTGTTTCGTAAATGAATCTCTCTTGTGGGATCTTTCCTTGCTGCTGAACAACCAAAACCTTTTATTGCAAATAAAGAACCTTGGCGTCACTTGTTGATCAATAAATCTGTTTGAGTGTTCAGTTATTCCATAGCAACAAACCCAATGCATTGCACGAAGACTGGATTAATCCAAAAGTATATCTCAGGGTGGAGTCAGGTGAATTGGAGTGGCCAAATTATTTTGGCCCTTGAGACAGAAAAATCCTGCAATCCAGGCAGTTGGACGTAGGTTTCATGAAAGGGCAGCAAATTGTTAACTGCTTAATTTAATACTAATGTATTCCATTGAGACTCCCATGGAGAGCTAACAATTTGCTGCCCTTTCATGAAATCTGCATCCAACTGCCTGAGGTGGTGACCTCACTCTGCCTAATGCTAGGGTCAGCCTTGCATGCCTCCCTAAGAGTGAAAAAAAATATTTCTGACATTCTCCTTCTATGTAAATATAACTGAATGACTGGAGAAGGAGATGAATGTGGCAACAACTCTGGCCTTAACCTTCCCCCATTTTCCTTCCGCGCCTTCCCAGTTTATCAGACAATAATACATATTTATCAATGTCCAAACAAATCCAGCCTTACAGGTGACTTTCCTGACACCCTCCCTTAAGATTTTTTCCACCTCTGCCTTCCACAGACCTTAATCTCCACATCAAGTTCCTCACAAATACTCAGTTTGGTCTTACGCAATCCAGCTTGCCACCCACCTTCAGCAAATAAGAGAGACTTGAACAAATAAGGAAATCTGAGAGGTGGAGTGGTTTGAAAGTCGCATTAAGGTGGCAACCCTAACCCCATTTACTGGGGTGTAAGGCCCATTGAATTCAGTGGGACTTCTGAATAGGGATGGGAGAGAAAAATGTTTCATTTTGTATTTAACTTTGCACTTTATGAAACAATAACCAAACAGAAATGTCCCCCTCCTTTGAAATATTCACTTTCCTGAATTTTGTACTGCGGTTCTCCAGCCATATACCATATTTTTTGCTCTATAAGACACACCAGACCACAAGACGCACCTAGTTTTTGGAGGAGGAAAACAAGAAAAAAAATATTCTGAATCTCAGAAGCCAGAACAGCAAGAGGGATCGCTGGCTTCTGTGATAGCTGTGCAGCCTGCATTCGCTCCATAAGACGCACACACATTTCCCCTTACTTTTTAGGAGGGAAAAAGTGAGTCTTATAGAGGAAAAAATACGGTAGTTAAAGGACCCCTGGATGGTTAAGTCCAGTCAAAGGTGACTATGGAGTTGCAGCGCTCATCTCGCTTCAGGCAAAGGGAGCTGGCGTTTGTCCACAGGCAGCTTTCCAGGTCATGTGGCCAGCATGACTAAACCACTTCTGGCGCAATAGAACACTGTGATGAGTGCCAGAGTGCACTGAAATGCTATTTACATTCCTGTTGGTGCCTATTTATCTACTTGCGCTGGTATGCTTTGGAACTGCTAGGTTGGCAGAAGCTGGGAAAGAGCAATGGGAGCTCACCCGTTGCGCAGATTCGAACCGCTGACCTTCCAATCAGCAAGCTCAGTTGTTTAGACCACAGCACCACCCACATCTCCTTTCCAGCCATATAATGCATGCTCAAATGCAAATAAAAGTATGCATACAAATCTATACATCTGTGGAAGGCAATGTAAAAAAATGCATTATATTAGGGGCCAGCTAATCCCTGCTTGTGAGTAAACACAGTGAGGCTTGCAGCCTGAAACCAGGGAAATGTGAATTCATGGACTTGCTCAGTACAAACAATGTCAAGAGCTGGCATCATCAGGCACCAGACAAGGTCCATGCCCCTGAACAGGGTTGAGTATTGGAGCCTCCTGGACTTGGTGTTCCTCAACCGTCATTTTGCTGCCTGTCCTCTCTGAGCACGCGGGCAGCATCCTGCATAAGGAGATAGAACACCAACTCCCATTTGCCTGGAATGTCTTCCCTGGGAAGTTTTTTGGATTGGGCACAGAGAGGGAGGGCGATTGAATGGCCCACTCAGACGATGGCACTCCAAGCATCTTGGAGCCATCATTACCATTCACCCATGAAGCTGACTAGATGAGTAGGCCATTCTCTCTCTCTGTGTGTGTCTCTGTCTCTCTGTTTTTTTTTCTCTCTCTCTCCTAGCATCACTTAGCCCATCTCTTAGGATGGTTGTGAGGGGAAAAAGGGCCAGAACCCTGTACACTGCCTTGAGTTGAGAGAGAACCATCTCTGAAATTCTTGAGAGACATCGCTAATCAGGATGATTGATTGATCAAGTGATTGAGCTCGATGGACTAAATCTCTGACTGTGCTGTTCGAAGGGTTGCTGGCCTCACTGTAATCTATCATTTCATCTCTGGGGGGGAGGCAGGGTGGTGGTTTTTGTTTGTTTCACTGTTCTTTAAGGATTTGTAACCTGTAATAGCAATAAAAATATTACTTTAAAAAAAGAGGGGAGAGAGAAAGTACCTCTGACTTGTCAAGGTTTTTAAGTCCAAATTCTGCCCAGTTGTTCACCCCAGATCCCAGTGATACAGAGTAGGAACCAGAGAGTTTGGTCGCTTTATCCAGCCATCCACCTGACAAGACGCTCTTCCTGCTCTTCCTGACTGAGCATGGGTCAGTACTCGTGTGCTTCCCAGCATTGCATTATAGAATTTTAGCAGTGCTGAATGTATCTCTTTGAAAAGCACCATTATCCTCATCCATGTAGCACTGATTGCACCTCAGAGTTATGGGGAAGCATTTTCATGCCCTCTAGTGCTTAGAACCTGAACAATTCTGACAGCTCAATTGTTGTTGTTATATATATATCTATATCTCTCTCTCTCTCTCTCTCTCTCTCTCTCTCTCTCTCTCTCTATATATATATATATCTTTTCCAATATAGTTCCAATAACAGCCTCATTATAACAATAACAATTTTATCCAATTAATACAATTATTAATGCCAATTATTCAAAGTCAAATTGTACAATTTGCAGTATTTTTCTGTGTATAACACGGCCCCATGTATAAGACAACACCTATTTGGGGGGACTCAAACTTACAAAAATGGGGGGAGTTTGCCCTGAGTTGTTGGGGGTTTTTTGTGGAGGATTGCCCCCAGAGTTTTTGAGCTTTTCCTGGGGGGTGGGTGGACCAGAGTTGTGGAGCTTTTTTTAGGGGGGATATTGCCAATAATCGCTCACCCATTTCACCTGCACTGCCGCCCACCGCCTATCAGCTTTTCCCTTATGCCCACCCTATTGTGGCAGGAACGCCAAATAGACACTGGCCCTTATCGCAGCCACCTATAACACCACTGACAATCTCCAGCTAACAGAACCAACCAATCCCATATCACCAATATGCACTGACTATGTATAAGATGCCCCCTTTTTTCACGTAATGTTTGTGGGGAAAACCTCTTCTAATACCCGGAAAACTACAGTACTTAAACTGCCCCCCCCCCGCATGCTAGAGTTGATGAGTTCATTCTTCTACATTCCAATAAGATATAATAATCCCTAATATAACAGCTACAATCTTGTGATTTCAATTCATGTTGGTCTAATAGGTAATTTCAAGTGAGGAACTTTAGCTGTAATCCTTATTCTTTCCTGTGTGTGACAATTTTCCCCATGATGTTTTCCCATCCATATATGGTGCTGTATCCTTTATTCCTGCAGCTGTTGGTGGTTCCCGTCATGTCTCGGGAGAAGCAGTTATCCCAGAGTTTCCAAAGGTCACTGCATCACTTCATGCCATGATTCAACTTCCAGTAAGCAAGCCATCTCTGCCATTTTTCCCAGCCTAGGAAGAACAGTCTGAATCCAGACTGCAGATTGTTAATCCAAAATTTTCTATTCTCACAGCTGGTAGACTCCTTTCCTCCCTGCTGCTGATTTATGGCCATTTATCCTTATCTCAAACACATTCCTTTGTGGATAATAGAGGTTAGGAAGGATTTTGCTCTATATTTTCAAAGCATAGCATTTATTCCCCCCTTCCCTCTCAGTTCGTCTCTTACACACAAACAGTTCCAATTTTGTTAAATTCCATATGATATTACGATTTCTTCCATCCTCACTTGTGAAGATATTTTGAAATAAAACTTGCATGGGGGGGGGGGGTTGCTGTATCATAAATGCAGAGAAAAACCTTAAGTAAGCAAACTGTGGGCTCCCCTCCCCCCATCATCTTTTCGACCGTATGAAATCTGCTCTCAATCCAAACCTTTCACATCCTTGTAGCTGGGTTGTTTTCCCAGTTTCTTATCTCATTGTCTCTGGCACGGGCCTTTAGTTTACTCCAATTAAAATCCAATTAACAGGAAAACCTGTGCTTCCAGGAATGGGATTGGGGTGGGGGTGGGGGTCGCAACAGCCAGAGTGTTGCGTGCACCCAGTGCCTTTGCCTACCCTTGCATTCCAAGAGGAAGCGAGTGCCAGACCGCCAGGCAAACTGCAGATCAGAGCCTGGTTCGTTTTCCAACTGAAGAGGAATGCAGATAATGAAATTTCCCCATCATTATCTGATTATCTCTGTCTTTCAGTCTCCCACAGTGTTGGGAGAGGTGTCTACCGCCTAGTGCACAGGAAACAGGAAGCCCTCTGATAGCTCAGTTCTGTGCCGAATACTGTGTGCTTTCACCCAGTGAAATCAATTAGGACAGATCAGGATACTGGGTGTAACATTTTGACTAGGCACTGCAGCTTTCATATTCAAAGATCCCTGTTTGGGTCCCTTGCAGGATTATTCACCTGAACGCTTGCCTACTCCTCTTTAGCAAATCAACACATATTTCAAAAAGTCTGTCAGTTTACCAGACGCTCTGTAAACAAGATTTCCCTTCCCATTCAAAGAAGTGGGGAGCCGCAGAGCTTTGGTGGCAACTCAGTTAGTGGCAACAGCTTCAAGAATATAAGTACTGGAGATCTAGATCCATTTAATAGAATTGTCAAGTTGGAAGGTATCCTGAGGATCATTTAGTCTGACCCCCTGCAGTGCAGGAATATGCAGGCTTCACATTCAGGGATCGAACCTGCAACCTTGATGTTATCAGCACCATCCTCTAACCAACTGAGCTATCTAAGGGCTCTCCCTCTACTAGTTATTTGGAGATATAGTATCACTGAATGTGGAGGTTCTATTAGGTTGTTACATAGGACAGGACCTTGATTCTGAATGGGTAAGTGCAGTTTCAGCACCTGTGAATGGGCTTCGCAGATCTAGCAAGAAGCAGAATTCCAATGGAGGAGGAGGTGCTACTGTTGAGCCCTTTCTCCTTACTCGTGCTTCACCAGAACCTCAGTCCTAGATCGCAGGAAGGAATAACAGGAAGTGCCTCAGAGACGGCTTTCTCTGCCCCACTGAGGGCCTCATCACACTTTAGGAAGTGGAGAGGCACAGTTCTGTTGTTGCGGGAAACACTCAAACAAAGCCTGATGAGAAGACTCATGTCTTCTCCAAATACTCGAGGAAACACGGTGAGGAAGGAAGTGACCAAGAGGACACAGGAGCACCACCACATCATGTTACAGACCTGTGTCTCCCTGTCATAGAAGGGTGCTCTGTGCCACAAAAGCATAGTTAAACTATGGAACTCATTTCCACGGGTGGCAGTGATGACCACCAACTTAGAGGGCAGTAAAAGAGGGCCAAACAAATTCATGGTGCATCAGCCTGTCAATGGCTACTAGCTTGGAAGGTTGTCCATGGGGAAATGTATCTCTGATGAAGGTTCCCCCATTCCTGTTCTGTGAGGACACCTACAGTCAGAAGCAAACATTTGGTCTTTAGAAATGCCAAACCCAGGACTGTAAGTGGATGATTTCCTGGTTGTCATTGCTCAGTTGCCTCCAGGAGATTTGGTTCAAGAGATTTGGTTCTCCATCCCACCTTGGCTCCAAGTATCACAAATAACTAAGGTGGGAGCACAAGCATTTCTATTGCTGAGGACATCTTTGGCCATATTCATACAGTTGTGGCAAATAAACAGACCCCACGCATTGGAAATTGGATGCTTGCTAATTTTTATTGTTTTGAAGCTTTCCTCAACCCAGCAGACAAGACAGAACAAAAACCATTCATGAGCAACTGATGATCACCATCACCACGGCAACTCTGGTTGTTTCATGATGCAATTTGTTGTCTTTGATTAGCAGGGAGCAGGATAGCTGGTCCAGTCGCCAATTCTTGCTTTAGATTTAAGTGAATGCTGAAAAGAGAGAAGAAGAAGCAAGCTGAGAGTTGTGCAAATGAATCTCTGTTCTCAGAGATCTGCACTTGTTGACGGCTTGCTACTAGACCAAGTTCAAGTTGTTTCTATTAATATATAAAACATTTAACAACTTGGGACTGGTTTACCTTCAAAATTGCCTTACCTCGTATATCCCCACTCAGCCCCTTTGATCTGTGGGACTGGCACTGTTATGAGTGTCACATGATATTGACTGCTCATTTACTGTCCTCTTTTAGTGTCTGCTACAAACATTTTTGTTTAGACAAGCCTACCCAGACACATAGAACATTGATGTATGTCTTAATTTCCTTTTCGTTTATAGCTGATTTTATTATTTATGTTTTAAATACTTGCTTTCAAGTGTTTTTGCCAATAATTTTATAGTTTTCTCTCTCTTTGTAAACTGCTTTGAGATGTGTGTGTTTTTACAATCAAGCAGTGTAAAAATTTCATGAAAATTGGGGTTCTCATTCATGGTTGATCTGGGATTGTCAGCATGAATCATGTTTAGGAGCCATTTGCTAGAATACACACATCATCCTTCTGTCCATTTCCAGTTTTCAGGCTCTGAGTGCTGTTGCTTATGTAACCCCCGTGCAAGAAGAAGGAATCAGCAGACTTGGGAAACTCTTGAGTGTTTTCAAAAGCACATAAAACCTTAGGAGAGAAAGACCCTAAAAGGGAAATGGACCAATAACTTTGCTCATGGTCAGGGGGTACATGATGCAGAGTGACTGTTATGGGCAAAACTGGGGAGGGGGCAAAGAACAGAGAATATGATGTAGTAACTCGAATCCTAGAGAGCAGTATTTTATGTAGCCTTTCAGGTTTGCCTCATCTGCAACAGGAGCCATTTCTGGTGATAAGAGTCATTCTTTGGCTGTTCCCGTAGGAACCCCAACTGTGCTGCCACACACACACCCCGCCCCCATGATAGAAGAAAGGAAGACACACAAAACACAAATATGTAGTACACACTGGCTCTGTACTCATTTAACAGTCATAGCTCCCAGTGTCTCACAAAACAATGCTCAAATCCTGAGAACTGTAGTCTAGTGCTAAGAATTCTGTAAGGTATCTCATCTACCCCACAGATCTGCCGCTCCTTTGATGCTCTAGGGAGAAAGGATGATGTCTTAATGTCAATACGCATTGGGGTTTGGGGAAGGCAGAGCATAAGAATGAATGAAGTTTGTTAAAATACAATTAAGCTGGGTTTAACATTGAAGGCTACTGGATTTATTTTTGTTTTAAGCAGATCATCTGTATTAGAGAACTTACAGGTGGTGGGGTTCTTTCTGCTTACTCCTCATTCTCATTTACTGGTTCCACCTAAAGAGAGAACACAGTTTTATTACATCCTCATCCTTATCTCTGGTCAAGCAGACTTGAAAATTAATTTTTAAAAAATAACTAAGAGTTCGTTGAGGGGCCTACTGGTATCTTACAATTTCTCATCTTAAAATAATTAAGAAGCATCTAGTAGTCGCCAGCTGAACAATCTCTCCCCCCCCCACAAGCTGCTCAACAGATGTAGGGCTGCCATACGTCCTCAACAACATGGGGGGAGCTCAACAACTTTGTCCGGATTTTCACTTTTAGGAATATGGAAACCCTATTATATATTTAAAGGTAAAGGACCCCTGACAGTTAAGTCCAGTCGCGAACGACTCTGGGGTTGCGGCGCTCATCTCGCTTTACTGGCTGAGGGAGCTGACATTTGTCCACAGACAGTTTTTCTGGGTCATGTGGCCAGCATGATTAAGCTGCTTCTGGCAAAACCTGAGCAGCGCATGGAAACGCCATTTACCTCCCCACCAGAGTGGCACCTACTTGCAGAGTGGCACCTACTTGTTGGGGATACTTGCACTTTGGTGTGCTTTTGAACTGCTAGGTTGGCAGGAGCTGGGACCGAACAACGGGAGCTCACCCCGTCTTGGGGATTTGAACTACTGACTTCCCGATATATTTACTTCTCAGTAAACTTGCACTAACTCCCATTCTCCTCTCCAAATGGAGATGTTCAAAGTGGTTGATGAAACACATTCAAAACAAATACATTTCAGTCTGAGCAGTGCTAAACCCATCTACCATTTTCAAGCACCTGCTGCTCTATTACCACCACAAAAGAGGCAGTCATTTTTCCACAACTGCTTCCTGATGGTAGCACCAGAGTCTGATTGTGGCATAGCTGCAAGTGTATGTTTATTAAGATAAAAGAAATGCTTTTAACTTTATAGAGTGGGAGCACCACTTTCTGGCATGACCTTCCCCTAGATCAGAGGAGAGCCTCAAGCCAGCAGTCAGGTGTCCGTGTGACTTTACAGAAGTTAGCCCTTATGGAATTTATAGTCAAAGCAGTGGCGTAACATGGGTTGCCATTCCCTGGGGCCACACAGAGCTGGGGTGGGAGGGAAATGGATGGAGTGCCCATGTGCATTCAACTGCCTAACAATGTCCGTGTCATCCAAGAAATTGAAGCTGCAAAGATAAGAAAAGATGAGTCATTCCGTTGTCTGGAGAGGTCACTTCCTGCTTTTCATGGAGAAGCTGTTTTCAACAGAGCCCAGCTGTGGAAGTGCGCAGCTGTATTGAGGCAGCACTGGGTGTTGAAATTTTGCACCCCTAACAATTTTGTGTCTGGGGTGACTGCCCCTGGGCCTCCCCAATGCTATGCCACTGATTCAAAGCAGTCCTCTGCTTGCAGGGTTGTCTGGTCCAAGCCCCTTCTAAAGATAATCAATGAGATGGGCTTGCAGAACAGTGACTGTGTTTTGAAGCCACCCATTACGTTTTGCATGCACACATTTGAATGCCCATTTTGTTACTTCTTTTGTTCTGTTTGGCGGGGCTGCATTTTCTCCCTGGCCAGCAGCATGTGAGTGACCTATGCCTGCACCTGGTAGCCAGAAGAGAGCCTCAAAAGCCAAGGATCAGAAGGAAAGGTAGCAAAGAGCGATCCATAAAAATGTGCCCTCATTTCTCACCTCATTCTTTTTGCCTTTGTCTTTGCCTTTGCCTCTGCCTCTGCCTTCGCCTTTGCCATGGCCATGGTGATGCTCATGGTGATGGCCTTTGCCTTTGCCTTTGCCTCTGCCATGGCCTCTGCCGTGGCCGTTGCCACTTTCAGGCTGAGCTACCTCTTCTTCAGCCTAGGAAGCAAAGAACAATTACTGTTAAGGATGGAATGGGCAGCTGATTTGGTTCATCGTTCCTGGTTCATCGTTCCTGGATCACAGGTATGTTCCCATCCTGTCTTGATGTTTCTGCATTTAATTGTATACATTTTATATGAAGTTTCTTAAGAATGTAAAAACACCCTCCTCTCAACACATTCGATGCATTCAATAACTTTCTGATAGTAAGAGCTGTTCAACAGTGGAACAGACTCCCTTGGAAGGTGGCGGACTCTCCTCCAAGGGTATATAAGCAGAGGTTGGATGGCCACCTGTATGGTATGATCTAGTTGAGATTCCTGCACAGCAGGGGGCTGGACTAGACCCCTGGGTTCCCTTCCAACTGGATGACTCTATGAGTCTATGATTGAACAGTAAGGTACATATTTTTGAATGCCTCTTTTATGTTATAGCCATAATTTTCTGCACATTTTCTGCACTGGAACCTGTGGTGCTTGAGACGTTGGACTTCAAATTCCCTCAGCCCCCACCAGAGCGGCAAGTAGTCAGGGGAGGTGGGAGTTGAAGGTGTCCAACAACACTTGGAGCATCCCTAGCCTTGGGGAATATTAAAATTCAAATTTTCGCTATTTTGGGGATCTGAACATGAAAGCAGCTGTGTCCAGACAAAAATGTCATAATAGCAACCTGATCCTCCCTTTGTAGATCAAGGCAAAGAATCTCAAAATAGGACACTCTCCTCCCCAGTCAACCAAACTTCCAAACCCCTCCACAGCCTAACAAACCTCTCCCTGCCTCTCGTGGTCCAATGGCCATGTTAGCATTTTATTCCTATTCCAGGTAGTTTCAACCAATTGGGTTATTTGGAACTGTCCAAGGTCATGCTTTTGCCTACCTTCTGCTTTGACCTGACTTAGCTTGTCTTCAGCAGATGACACCTGCTGCCCTGGAGAACATCAAGCTACAATGGAACCACCCTATTCTCATTTCTTAGTGTTGCTGATGCCTAAGGATTTTGTAGGTTGAGTGGCATATAAATAGAAACCTTTACATTGCCTATAATGCTCCAGATCTCCACTGGAAGCTGTCTTTACACGTTCCCACAATGCTCCAGAATAGTGGGCACTAGGGGACAGAGTAAGAAAAATAAACAGCCCACAGGTATGTACTGTCATTGAGTCAACCACATATTTGACATTTTGAAAGAGAAAATTGCTTTCAGTTGGCGTAATGCACAATGGGATTATGTAAGAGAAGACTATGATGAGAGGGATAACAGGAAGGACTGCTTAGATCTGCCAGCCCTTTTGGTAGTCACTAGGGGTGCTACACTTGAGGAGGAAAATTGGGCTGTTTCTGTGCAGGTGTGTGTCATTTGCCAATGTGCCGCATTACAACATGTTCACAAGATCTCTTTTTACCAGCGAAAGGGGGTTCTGAGGGATGAAAAATAAAGCAATACTGCTTTTCCATCTACAACCTTGCAGACAGGCAAGACTCTCTTGGCAGATGTTCTGAGTCACTGGGCATGAAAATCCCATCCTTGAGGTTGAAAGGCCTTTGTTATGTCAAATCCTGCATGCTGGACATTGTGGGAAATTTAAATGGTGGCTTGCAGATCCAGATATCAAGGCAGTGCTGGTGTTTCAGCGACACAGCCTGAGAGCAGGGCTGGCTCCCACAGGATGGTGCTGTATTAATGCCTGTGGATTGCTTCCTTTGGAATTATGGAGCGGAAATTAGGTCCTTTACTCCACCAATTAAAGGATAAGTTGTATAATACTACATTGAGCCAATATGCACTTTGGACTAATGGTCCTCTTTCCCCATTGCTCAACTGTGTTCAGGGTTACATTCCTTTTTCAGGATGCCAGGCAGATTGGCACAGCTCCACCCTGGGTTCTTTTGTGCCTTACTAACAGAACAGTGCGAATTCACTCTTCCATTATACGGCTGGATGTTCTTCCTCCTCCTTACATCTGTTGGCTTTTTAAAAATTCCATGGAAGCAGAATTCAAGGAAACCACAAAATAGTTATTTTTGTCAGTTATTTTTGTTTTTACACCATTGCAGTCCATTCATGACACAAACAGAGAATGCTCACAGATACTTACTACCACCAATGGATCGACCACATCCTGAAAGAGAAAATTGCAGACAATGTATATAGTGCTTAACGCAGTTATATGACAGAGGAAGGTGATGATGAAAATGACAAGAGGAAAAGGGGGTGCTGGCCTCTGCCCCCCAGGAGCTTGCAAATCATAGGTCTACAACTGGTGGCAGTGACAAAGGGACACAAGCAGGGCTGGTCTAAGATGTTTTGGTATCTGGGCAATCTGCAAAATTCTCTCCTGTCCCACCAGGGAAGGAGGGGTAAGTGAAGATCCACATTGGGAGCAAGGGGAGGAATAAAATAAACTATACCCAACAACTGAAGTGGGAATCTGAGGCCACTGCTGGGGTGGGGCTCTCAGTGTCACCAGCAGACAGTGCATTCCTTGGATGCCAGACCTTCTGTCCCTGTGGATTCTGCTGCCCAAGGCTGTCACCTCACCTTGCCTAGTGGTTGGGCTGGCCCTTGGCAGAAACATATTTCAAACTCAATGGATCGCCACAGCTGATCACTGTTATTGGGTCTCTGTGGAAACCCACCTGAGACAAGGAATGCTCTTAATAACCTAGGGCAGTTTCACACCCTAGATTTAAAGCACATGACTTCCCCCAGAGAATCCTGGGAACTGAAGTTTCCTCTTCTCAGTTCTGTCAGTTCAGCCTTCCTTTCTATGGATAAATGCTCTTCCTCCTTCTTTTCCTCAATGACCTTTAAATATTCTGTGGTAACCCAATTAAGGGAAGAGAACAAACCACTGTGTTATTCTGCTCCTGAGCCTTTTGGTGCTACTCTAATCCGTTATATAGGATGCAAACACAGAAAGCCCCACAGATACTCACGTCAAGTACTTCCTCCTGGAGATCCTGAAAAAGAAAATGACCATCAGTCCCCATAGTGCCTACCAGAGTCAAACACCATGATTTCCTTGCCCCAGTGGATTTACCTTAGCTTACTGTAGACAGTCTACATCTTGGCTACCTAAAGAAGGCTTTAAAGAGACCTTTACCTAAAGAAGGCTTTTAAGAAAGGCAACGTGCAAGAAAGAGGTACACTACTTAACAGACAAGATACTAAGCTCTTCCTATATGCAACAACCACAGCAAGAATTTTATTAGCACAGAAGTGGAAACAAGAGGAATTACTGACAAAGGAAGAATGGCAATTGAAGTTAATGGCGAATGCAGAACTGGCCAAAATGAAGGGAAGAATCCGAGAACAGCGGGACCAGAAGTTCATCAAGGACTGGACTAAATTTGTAAATTGTTTGAAAGACAATTGTAGTCAATCAAACACGTTGGTAGGATTGCAAGAAGCTTTGTAAGGAAAGGTATAAAAATCACCGCAGAGAAGAATAAGAAAATATGGTGCTTTGATGTTTTTTATTTGAAAGCAATGGTTAAGTAGTGAAAATGCAGAAATTTGAAATGAAAGATGGAAAATCATGAGGAAGGTTTGAAGGAAGTCAGGGCCCTAAAAAGCCAAATTGTAAAATATAAGAGGAGAAATTGTAATGGAAAGCATTATTGTAAAATTAATAAAAATGATATGGCCAAAAGAAAAGAAAAGAAAAGAAAAGAAAAGAAAAGAAAGAAAAGAAAAGAAAAGAAAAGAAAAGAAAAGGGGTACACTAATGCCCGTCCCTCAGGCAGCACTGGACCCAGGAAGGTGGGATATGGCCATTGCAAGGTCAGTTTCTGAGCCCTGGCTCAGGTACACCTAGAAGTGATGAGCATGTTTTGCTCCCTAGGCTGTGTTCCAACTTCACACTCCTTTTTCAGAATTCTAGGCCTATTGGCACAGTCCACCCTGGGTATTTCTTCTTCATCTCAGTTATACTGCAGTGCGCATTTACTCTCTTATTACATGGATAGAGTCTGGTGTCCTATCTAGCCTATTCTCACAATAACCAACCAGAAACCTGCAGGAAATGCACAAGCAAGATTTGAGTCCAAGACGCCTCTCCTCTTCTGTGCATTCCGGCATAGAATGTATTCAGAAGAAATGCTGCCTCTATCTGTGGAATTTTAAGTATTGCCTCTGAAGCTTAATTAGAGGGGGGCAGGGAACCAACGAGAGTATTTCTGCAAATTAAGTTTCTTTTTTTTTTAAAAAAAAGATATTTATTAAAAGTTTAACAATTACAAAAAAAAAAGACAATAAAAAGTTACAATACATCAAAAAATAAAACAATACAGCACAACAACAATAAAAAAGAAAACATTTAAGAACAAAAACATTTAAGAACAAAAACATTTAAAAACACATCTAGTATTTTCATATCTTTGTCTTTCATTTACTTGTTTCATCGACCTCCTCACACCTCCCTTTTTTGTATTCTAATTCAATTTAGCTATTTCAGCAAATCCTTTCCATCTTTCTCAATTTTTGTTCTATAATTTACCTTAACCCAATCTGACCTTAAATTTTACACTTTGGCCCATTAACAATCCATTTTTACTTAATTCTTTATAACATTTCTGCTAAAACCATGTAGCTTCATTCCAACATCCTTCTAACATTCATTAATTTTGCTGTATTTTTGTTCGGGGAAAATCTGCAAATTAAGTTTCTTGACCCCGTTGCGGTCCTTACATGTCACAGAGAATGCACATACTTACATCCACATCTTCATCCACAACCTCCTGAAAGAGAAAAATGCCAGCAATCTTGAGAGTCATTTATTTTTATCTGCAGGATTTTATTATTATTATTATTGTGGCATAATGGACAATAGGGTTATATAAGAGAAGGACTGCTTAGATCTGCCAGTCCTTGTCATAGTGACTATAGTAGTCATTAAAGGGGCTGCACTTGAGGAGGAGGATTGGGCTGTTCCTTTAGCAGGGGTGTGTGTGTGTGTGTGTGTGTGTGTATTGCCAATGTGATGCATTACAATATACTCACAAGATCTCTTTTGTGCTTCACATGACCCTGAGGAATGAAAAATAAAACAAGGGTGACTCAGTTCTGCTTTTCCATCCACAAACCTTGGGTACATGAAAGATTCTCCTGGCGGATGCTCTGGGTCACTGGGGTTTGAATGGACATGGAAATCCCATCCCTGAACATGGAAAGCTCATTTGTTACATCAAATCTTGTGTGCTGACACAACCTGAGAGCAGGTCAGGCTGCCATTTTGAGGTAGCCCCTAGGAAAGCAGCAGAGTCCTGCCTATAGCAGTGGTTATTGTAAGAGTTTTAGGTAGGCATTGGAGTTTCCCCATGATGCCTTGCAGTGACACTCCATCATTTGGGGAAATCAAAGTGGTGGATTGCAGTGCTGGTGTCCACTGACAAAACCTCAGATCAGGGCTGGCTCCCATTTGAATTTTCGCATCTTTTTAAATTGTAAGCCTGAAGGCAGTGGTTCTGTTTTGTTTTTTTCTTCTTAAAATTAGTTCTCTGGGAGTCACTTTTAGAGATAAAATAGAGTTCTTTTTTAATGTAAATAATAAACTGAGCAAAGGTGGGGCCCAATTACTCTGTGTCGGGCCTGGTAGGCAGGTGTATGCTTTGTTTTCCCACATAGCAATGAATGGCAGCTTTTCAACCCATGTGGGAGAGCTTAGGAGGAGTGGGAAACACTTGATCCTCCAGATTATGTTGACCTACAACTCCCATCAGCCTTCACTATTATCTATGTTGGCTGAGGTTGATGCATGATGCAGTTCAACAAGATTTGAAGGGCTTTTGTCTCACTCATAAAACACTGTGAATTCACTCTTTCACTACACAGATCTCCCTCCTCCTTAATCTTGGTGACTTTAAGAAACAAATCCACACAAGCACAATTAAAAGTGAAGTAACGAAAGCATTCTTTTGCAGATTAAGGGTTTGGCATAGTCCATATTTGGCAGCCACAGAGAAGGACCACAGCTACTTACATGCAGCTTATCTTTGCCTTTCTGAAAGAGAAAATTGCCATCAGTCTGCATAGTGCCCAACAGAGTTATATAAAAGAAGCTGATGAGAGAGTCAGAGTGATTGGACTAGGACCTGGTAGACCAGGGTTCAAATCCTCATTCTGTCATGAAACTCATTGGGTGACCTTGGGCCAGTCCCTCCCTCTCCATCTAACTTAATTCATTGAATTGTTGTGGGGATTAAATGAGGAAAGGAGAACTACGCACACCAACTTGAGCTCCTTGGAGAAAAAAAGAGAGAGTATAAATGCCACAAACAAACAAACAAACAAACAAGGAAGAATATGTCACAGGCTGCAGTAGCAGAGAGAGCAGAAGAGAGGCACGACCACTCCATCACTGCAGCTGGGAGGCCACCTCTGATTCTGTGTCTCTTTGACCTATCCCTGTCTAGTGAGTCATTGGAAGAACTTGCAGCTCATTTACAGATTTCTTCCTCTGTGCCAATCCATTTTGTTTCCTTTTCAATTGTAAGCCAGAGGGAAAGGACCCCCACTTTTTTGTGACCTGGGGACCAATTTTAGCTAAAAAGTGGAATAAAAAAAGTGAAGTAACAAAAGCATTCTTCTGCAGATTAAGGGTTTGGCATAGTCCATATTTGGCAGCCACAGAGAAGGACCACAGCTACTTACCTTTAGCCCACCTTGGACTTTCTGAAAGAGAAAATTGCCATCAGTCTGCATAGTGCTCAACAGAATTATATACGATAAGATGATGAGAGAATCAGAGTGGTTAGAATGTTGGACTAGGACCTGGGAGACTAGGGTTCAAATCCTGATTCTGTCATGAAACTCATTGGGTGACCTTGGCCCAGTCCCTGCCTCTCCACCTAACTTAATTCATTGAATTGTTGTGGGGAATAAATGAGGAGGGGAGAACTATGCACACAAACTTGAGCACCTTGGGGGTGGGGAAGAGAATATAAATGCAATAAACAAACAAACAAGGATGAATATGTCACAGGCTGCACTAGCAGAGAGAGCAGAAGAGAGGCACGACCACTCCATCGCTGCAGCTGGGAGGCCATCTCTGATTCTGTGTCTCTTTGACCTATCCCTGTCTAGCGAGTCATTGGAAGAACTTGCAGCTCATTTTACAGATTTCCTCCTCTGTGCCAATCCATTTTGTTTTGTTTTCAATTGTAAGCCAGAGGGAGAGGATTCCCGCCCCCCTTTTTTTGGGTGACCTAGGGTCCAATTTTAGCTGAAGAGTGGAATAAATAAAGTGAAGTAACAAAAGCATTCTTCTGGAAATTAAGGGTTTGGCATAGTCAATAGAGCCACAGAGAAAGACCACAGGTACTTACATCCAGCGCACCTTTGCCTTTCTGAAAGAGAGAATTGCCATCAGTCTGCATAGTGCTCAACAGAGTTATATACGATAAGATGATGAGAGAATCAGAGTGATTAGAATGTTGGACTAGGACCTGGGAGACCGGGGTTCAAATCCTGATTCTGTCATGAAACTCATTGGGTGACCTTGGCCCAGTCCCTGCCTCTCCTGACACTGACACTGTTCTTAACCTGAGGTACCACTTTAGCTAATGGGGCCTCCCACTGCTGCCGCCACCGCATAATTTATGTTCTCATCCTGAGGTAAAGTTATTAACCCGAGGTAATATTTCTGGGTGAGCAGAGTCTGTAACCTGAAGCGTCTGTAACCTGAGGTACCACAGTATTCAGAATCATTGTTACCTCCAACTGTGGAATTTTAAATAATTCCTTGTAAGCTTAATTACAGCAGAGAACCAACGAAAGAGTCTTTCTGCAAGTTCAGTTTCCTGACACTGTTGCAGTCCATACATGTCATAAACAGAGAAAACAGATACTTACGGCGCCCACAGAACCCTGAAAGAGAAAAATGCCATCAGTGTTCAGAATACTTTATTTTTCTCTGTGTTTTTTTTTTAATCTATTTTTCACTTTCTTTTTCCTAAACAGAAACAAAACATACATATAAATATCAATGCAACATGAGGGGCTTTTGATGATAAAGTCAAAAGAAGGATTAAAAAAATCAATGAGTAAATGAACTTGATACAATTGTAAAATGTAAAAATTGTAAATGGGGCAGAGAAACAACTTGCATTATACACTGAAGGGGAAAAGGAAAAAAGGTCTTAACAGTTTACAGAGGTTGTCAAATAAAATCATATTTCAAAGGGATTTGTCACCTGTGTTGTTGTTTATTTATTATTTAATTCAGAGCCCCCCAAGAGAGTACTTAACAGTGTTATATCAGAGAGGAAGATGGTGACAAAGATGACCGGGGTGGGAGAGGTGGGGGGGGGGAGAAGAGCAAGTCTCTTCCCCCAAATCATAGATCTGGAAAGTGAAATATAATGGGAAAGGGGGTGGGAAGGGGGTTGGAGCCAAAAGTACAACAAAGAAAGAAGGGAGGATGAGGGCAACACGGATCAATAAGTTTCATTGGAAATGCACGCTGAGAACATGGAAGTTGCCTTGTGTTGCTTTGGGCTCAATGCTGAATGCCAAACTGAAGCCAGAAAGCAAATTAATAATAACCCCCCTCCAAAAGCTTAAAACTAAATTTCAACAACCAATATAAGAGGGATAAGCTGGTTAACATCTGCAATTATTAGACAAAACAGCAGTTGCTACAGCCGAAGCTAAATGATAAAGGAGAGAGAGGCTGGTCCCTTTATGCAGCAACCAGCTGTGCCCATTGGAATTTTGTAGGACATCCAGTGCAAATCATACTTTGTAAACTAAAATCACTAAACCACCACAATCAATAAATGTAAGTTCATAAATTTCAATGGCTCTCATCTATAGCTAAAAATGGGTACCACACATCCATTTTAATGTAATATTGGCCTGCACTGAACCCCCCCCCACTTTAATCCCCCCCCCTGCTTTTTAGCAATAGCTCTAGCAAAACTAGCAATACTGGTAACCTTCACAGGGTATGCACATACAGTGGGAATCCAGGACAACTCACTTAACAACAACTGCCATCATTCCTGGCCATTGGCCATGCTTGCTGGGGCTGATGGAAGCTGTTGGTCAGCAACATATGGAGAGCCAAAGTTTCCCCACACCTGGTCTAGACAGAGGGGAGAGCAGCACAAGGCCAGAAAAGAGGACACAGAAAACTGACATCCCTACACTGGTTTAATCTGTACCAAGTCTTTAGCTGGAAGCTTCTAAGTTTGTTTTTAGCATGAAACCCAGCCCACTGAATTACTCCCCTCTTACCAAGCTCTGTACAGACACCGCCACAAAAAGGAACACAACCAATGGATACAGCAGCTTCATTTTGCCGGTCTCCTTCTTTTCACTCTTTGAGATACTACTCAAAGCGCAAACTGTCCTTTCCAAACCCCAGCATTTATACTCACTTTGGGAAGGCTCAGTGGGTCCAAATCTCAATGTTTCCTTTGTCAAAAGGCGTGTGGATAATAGGTTTATCAATAAGGAAAGGTCACGGGATGGATTGCATCAGCCTAACCACAGTATGGAACAACATGGCTGCATCCAAGGAAAAGAAGGATGCAAAGGGCAACTGGACGTGGCATCCCATGGCTGTTGGCACTTCTGCAGCTGGCACAGAAATATTATCTGACACTTCTTTGATGTGCTGGAAAATGCCTGGACGCTGGACATAGCCATGTCTGTTTCGGATTTTTGCTGTACCCTTTGGAAAGCAAAATGCATAACTGCTGAGGTCATTCAACTAACTTTCTAATAACATTTTCCTTGATTAGGGCTGTGCCAAGCTGTCAGTTCTGAACTCTATTGGTTTCTCATTTAGCAATGCATTTTAAGTCCTTGTGAAAATTCGTTAGTGTTTTTGTGCAAATTTCTCCTAAAATTAAATATGTATGCAAAAAGCCTAATGAACTCCTTCTTGCAAAGCGGGTTTCCCTAACATATGCAATGTTCACTTGTTAGATGCATTTTGATGCACACTCTGCATTGTATAGGCATTTGAAAAAATGTATTACTTGGCTGGAGAACTGCATTTGAAAATTCAGAGAACAGCAAATCTTGAAGGACTACTGTGTTTCACCTCTCGTATTGTTTTGGGAGATGGGACTCAGTTAGGCTCATCTTAAATATTAATGGGAACGTATTCTCTCTCTAACCCTGTTAGATAAAATTGTGAATAAATCGCCTGTAGTTTTTAGCAGAAGAAGCAGCTCAGACATAATTCCCAGACCTGTACAAATAACAATGAGCAAACTGATTGCCTTGTTGTTAACTAGGGCTGAGTACATACCACCTTCTTGGGAGTGTTACAATCCACACTCTCATATTTTTCTTATTCAGTGCTCCAACAATGGATTAACTTCATGCACTCCCAGAGCCGGTAAGGTTTGCTAAGTGACAGTATAAGGGGAAAATGAGAAACTGAGAGGATCGAAATTGGGATATCTTCCCATCCCTGCTGTTAATACATGTACCTGGGAAAAGAAAATGGTGGGAAATGAAGATGCAGTTTGCCAACTACCCTATTAGCAAAGTTTAAAAAATAAAAATAAAGGGGGAAAAGGCAGGAGTTCTGGGGTCTCCTGGTAACCCCCTGAGCCACCCCTAACAAAGCCCCTGGTGTTTGAATCACATATGTATTATGGTTTATTAAAGCAATACCCTTGTCTTATCATGATTTGAAGTTCATGATCCTTGGCTTATCACAATCCTTTGTCATCATCAGATGCCCCTTTGAATGAGCTTGCTGCAATATCTCCACTGAACCAGCTAATGAAACCACAGTGCTGTTCTGAATCAACAGGGACTCTGCTACTCTTGAACCAACCTCAGAATGGTTTCTTTGTTGTTTGCAAAAGGGACCTGAGCACCGATAAGGGAGACCAAGGTAAATGAATCTTATCAGTGAAAAGGGCATCAGATTCAAAGAGTGTTGTGCATAGATAAAGAGATTTGGCACACCTTCTCTGGGCCAGATGGATCAGCCAAAATCATTAGGTTCTTGGCAAGGGCAAAGTGGAAGCAGAAGCTTGAGCCCTCAAATCCCAGAATGACCACCATTA